TCACTAACTTTATTATTAATATTTTCTTTAATGAATACAGATAAATCGTGTCTTAAGACTTGCTCTACTCTTTTGTTATATGGAATTTTGATTCCGGTATTTTGTGCTTGATCAGTAGGCATTGATTCTGATTTAGTGGTTTTATGCTCATGGGTAATTTCGATAATAGGATTTATTTCAGTAGAAATTGCATTTTGTGTATCAGAAGAGGAAGATGTTTTTCGTACCAATTGTTGCCCTTGGCAAATCTTCTTTTCCCTATTTCTTTCTCTTGCCATATTACTAACCCTCTCCTTTTCCTGTAATTCCAAAAATTCATTAATTTCTTTCTCTTCCGATGATAAAGTTCCTATAGGAATAGGAGATGTGAAAGATCGGCTATCCTTTTCCTGGTATGGATCAGAAGAACCGGATGTTCGATGCTTCGCATCATCGGGTGTGTTATCGGAACTATTTTCTATTCGTTCAGGAGCAACATCAGAATTTGAAGTATTGTCAGATATATTAGATGCCGAAGTATCATTAGAATTTTTCATTTTGGTAGAGGTGGTATTAGATACAGAGTATCCTGCTTCGCAGACTGAAGATTGATCGATTCCCTTGGCATCATTGTCTGATTTAACAATAAAGTTATTCTTTTCATCGGTTTTCGATTGCTTCTGTTCTAATTTCGCAACTCTAGCTTTAAGCTCAGCATTTTCAACAGCAGTATCTTTATCGTTCTGCTCCAGTTTCGCAAATCTGGATTCATGTTCTTCCAAAGCTTGTTTTAATTTTACGTTCTCAGCTTTAAGTTCATTGTTCTCGGCCTCAACTTCGGAAAATTTTTTTCTAAGTTCAGGAATTTCAGCATTCTCCTTTCTAAGTTCAGTAATCTCGGATGCAAGCCTAGAGTTTAATTCTCTCAAGGTATTGATTGTTAATTGATCGTTCGACATTGTTTTATTACAAAATAGGATATATTCAAAAGGTTAACCACAAAAAATATTTATAAAAATCGAATTAACATGCTTTGCTTTATTGATTGTAATAAAATCAAAAATAATCAAACCTATCTATTATTTCTATACTATTGCCTACACTATAGGTTTATAAGTTTTTGTATGTCTAAACTATCTCAATATTAACTATACCCTGGTTTCATTTGTTATCGATTCTGAATAAAATAGAATGCTATAAGTTATACCTATACGAAACATGCAGTTATCTTTTTCGAACCTGAGAAAAAGATTACGTTACCTGCTTTCTGCTATGTTAATAATTTTCTCGGAAATCTGTAAGAGAGAATATTGGTTTGCAAGCCCAGAAGTTTATTCATTGAAATGCATTGTCACAACCAAAATATTCATACTTTACGGAATTTTCGCCAAAAATAAAATTGATTTCTGATTTTGGATCTGATCGAATTCAATTAACAGATATTACCTAAACTACTTGGAATAACCGAAAGAACCTTGCTTTTGATGAAATATGTTATGGTGGAACAATGCAAATTCGTGAACTTGAAGGTTAAATTTTATAATAGAAGTAGCCCTAATCAATTATTTTTTTTTCGCATTGTTCAAATACGTTACCGTGATCATGTCATATGAGCAAGGCGGACATCGCAAATGAGTTAAAAACAAATCGTTCAACTATTGAGCACAAGATCAACGCCTAACACATCGCGATATATTAAATGGCATGAATAGAGTAAATTGTAATTTGTTATTCCTTTTTTTCAACTACGAACTATTCTTAATGAAACTTACCTTTACATCAAAATCATACAAAAATTTAAGGAATCCACTCATTTGGCAAACATAGAAATTTTCTATAAGAATTATGTGGGTGAGAGTTATATTTACAGACAGAACGCCATGACATAAAAATTAGTACACGAGAATATTACGATAGCCTGAAAAAATGACATATATTCATTATTTTATATAATATATTATCACTTAGCTCAGATCGGTGCTTCTAAATTTTAAATGTATGCGGAAAACGTATGCTATTAACTGTATATGATACAAGCTTGAGGCTGGCGACTATCAAGAGATAACTTGAATACCAACTGACTCATAGCTTCACCGCCAAAGAGCGGACAGCGTGAAGTATGGCGTCTCCAAGGTATACCAGGGAAGCACTCGCCGCCAGGAGGGGCAGCACGAGTAACTCCAGCAAAGTCAGTTGATCAACTGCCGCCGCCAAAGAACGGACAGCGCGACAGTTGTTAGTCACCAAACAACTCATAACTTCACCGCCAAAGAACGGACAGCGTGAAACTATGGCGTCTCCAAGGTACATACATACCAAGGGAAGCATTCGCCGCCAAGATGGACAGCACGAATATCTTCAGCATAGTTGTACCCTCATAATTTTATAATACTGACGAAAAATACTTTTTATTTTGAAATCTGTGTCACGTGTTAACAAGTAGTGATTATTGTGCAGAGCGTAGTTAGGACCTTATACAAGTTACTCTCGTTATAACGAACCTTCGATATAGCGACGACTAATTAAAATCTCGATATAATGAAGTTAAGTTTAAACCAGTTTATATAAAATTCTCTTGATATAGCGAATTTACTAATTAACTCTCGATATAATGAATTTTTGGAAAATTTTTATTAATTGCACTTGTACTTTAGGATTAGAAGTGAAAATTGATCTCACATGATTCTTGTCCCGCCGCGTTACACGTTAAAACAAAACGAGAAAAATAAACGTAAACAAGTAATTTATTTATGTAACTTTAATTTTTATTATAAGCTCCGGGAATAACACGCGTCACTAACTTAGACTTCATTGAACTGTCATGACTGCCGTGCTAAGATCCACGACTTTCTTGAATTATAAAGTTACTACAAAAGAAAAAGTTCACGATTATTTTAATAATATAGAGGCCAGGTATTGGCAGCTAAAACACTACCTGAGTTTTCGTTTGAAAACCGATGAGCAAATATTATCTTGGAACACAGTTTATAACGATTGGCAACAGTCACTCGTCTTTATTATCAAAAACAATACTAAAAATGCCCCAAACTCTATATCCAGCTTTTGTAAAGATCTATATAATATTTGTGATACCTTTGAGGGTGTCATTGTACGCCAAAGCTGTGAGAAGTTTTATAACGAATTTTATCAACGGAATATTGACCTGCAATTTGCTGAGAGACGTCGGCTTCTGGAATCAACTATATTTTCAGAACAAAAGTTTACAGAATTCTTAGAAGCATCGAGCAAAAAGCGAATAAGGGAGGACATTGAAGATGCGTCATCCAATGAAAAACGAGTTCGTCACAATGAATATAATGTGGATGATTTCGCACCTGAATTGGTTTGTACTTAAATCCATATTGTTTGTTATGTGTAATATGTTATTGACACTACTTGTTCTAACTTATCTTACAAGCCCCAAAATCACGACGCAGAAGAAAGTAAAGACAATGAGACGGTATAAAAAATTTTAATTAATTGTTAAATGATATTAAATTAATTGACTGACTACTTAATTTCTTGGATAGTTTGATTTACCTAACAATCAAGATGATGTTGAATATGTTGAAGTCAAAAATCTTTTAGACGAATCAGAAATCTGTTTACCGGAATTCAGCACAATTTTAACCGATTTTAGAACTTACCAACGTGAAGTAAAGAATATCCTTTCGGAAAACGAAATAATGGATTTAAGTCCATCCTCTGAGTTCGTTCTCTTACATCTAGAAGAAATGAAATATGTCTCATTAATTAAAAAGGTTTTTGCGCCGATCGATAAAATCTTTCCGGAAGAAGCAGACGAATTTTTAATCAATTTCTTTCAGAGGTAATGTTATCCAACTGTGTGCTTCGCTGACGGATTGTAAATCACATAAATATCGTACCACATATTAATTCAAAAGAATATATGACCCGTCCGATTTTATTAAATTTTGTGCCTTATTTACAGAAATTGAGCGAACAACAATGGGAAGATAAAATCGAAAGTTTGATGGAAGATAACTCAAAGCAAAATAAATTTACCACAAAATTAAAAAGATTAATAATAGAAACATTGCCGATTTTGTGAGTATTCAAGGAGTGCATCTTTTTTTTGTAGATAAGTACTAACATTTCTAACATTTCACAATTTCTAGTTTTGACTCCTACAAATTAATGTCTGATAATCCACTTAAAAATAAAGAAATGACTGAAGAGGAATATATGAATACCTACATTCATCCAATTTTAAAAAAAGCATTGATCCGGTTTTCTGACATTAGATACGTTCCGTAAGTATAGATTTTCATCAGTCTTATCTTATTATTACGCAGCAACAATGTATTTAACTTTCATCATGTAGAGGTAGCAAGGCTATCAAAGCCTCCATGTATCGAAAAACTGTAATGAACCAGAAAGGAAATGCGGATCGAGCGGATGGCATGGCGTATACGTCAAACCAACAAAATTCATTTGAAATATCTGTCACAGAAGGGAGCCGGCCATATGTTACTGATAAAAATAAAGAAACATGTGATTTCATTCAAAATGCAAGAGCTGCAAAGGATATGATTAACTTTGCTGTAACACAAGAAGTATTGAATAAACGGTCACTTCCATCGTATTTTCGAACATTTATGGTTCAAGTTTTTGAGTTTAACCTGCGGTTCTATTTCATGGATTATCTCAGTATGTATATATTGATACCCAATATGTTAAAGATTATGAATTAATTTTTTTTCCTTTTATAAAAGCCCAGTATTCTATCTTCGAAATCGAAACATCCGAAATACCTACGGATTGGAAGGAAACCCTGCAATTTACTTCTTTTTATAGGGCAATTGTAACATGGGCGGTAAGTCATGCACTGCTGTTTTGTAATGAATTTCTTTTTGCTGATTTACATTTCATTTTGCAGTTATTGGTTGGGGAAGCCGACAAAAAATTTCAGGAATCCAGAAATAAAAGGAGTTCACGCCTAAGCAACTGTCATAACCTTAGAAAGTTGTTAAAGCTTTCACATAACAAAGATCGAGGTGGCGCAAAGAAGGATATGATTATGACTAAACCTATCTAGATAAAAAAAAATAAATATTCTATGCTTATAAGAGTATTCTCGTATAATTAAACATGTATTTGGTGTTTGAAAGTTCATGATTATAATATATACATTGTAAGTTATGGATGAGATATCATAGAAGTTCAAGAGAACAACTTCATGTATGCGTTACAATTTGTAACGCCGATCGCTTTTGCCAAGAAAATTATTTCGGAAAAATTACTATTATACATTACACAAAAAATAACACATGATACGTTCTAATCAAAATCTTTATTAATAAAATATATATATGATAAAAATACATGATAAAAAATATAAAAAATGAATTAATCTGGACAATGTACAGGACATCCTATACATGAATTGTTATTGTTGTTATTGCTATTATTGTTATTGTCATCACCACTGCCATTGTCATTAAAATTAGAATCATCATATGGTGGTGATAGTTGTGGTGACGGTGGTGATAATGGTGGTAGGGATGGTCGTGGTGATGGTCGTGGTTGTGATGATGGTTTATTTTTCTTTCGATATTTTTTGGCTACACGACCACAAATATAGTTAGGGGGATTGGGTCTTCTTGTGCGAAGATTATATGTTGGAGGCGGTGGTGATGTTGTCGTTGATGTTGTTGCTACTGCCGGTGATGAAGATGTTGTATTATTATCATCGTTGCTATTATTGTTATTGTTATTATTATCATTGTTATCATTATCATCGTCAAACGTTAGAATATTATCGTCATCATCAAATATTGGAATGTCATAATCATCACCCATTTCCCGGTTATTTGAATTTTGTATTTTTGCATTTTCTTGGATTTCGGATAGTTTGTGCCGAAGGCGTGATAGTTCATCTTGAATGCGAGCTTCTTCTGCTTCACGAGCCACGATATCTTGTTTCTAATTTCAGAAGAATAATTAAGAATAGCGGAGCTAGTGTCAAGACACATAATATTAAGGCTGATATATAAATG